AGGGACTGTTAACGTTAGAACACTTGAAGCGTCTCAAAGAGTTGCAAGCTAATAGAGAATTCATGTTATCAGAACCAGACAAAGGTTTAGGTATTGTGATCATGAATAGGTCTGATTACATAGATAAGACAAGGGTAATATTGAATGACCCGTCTAAGTTTACAAAGACTCCGGCTGAAAAGGATAGGATGATTCAGATAGGAAAACCGTTCTTCACGACCTTACGACATCTGAAGCAAAAAGGAACAATCGATGCACTGACGTTCGAGAAAATACGACCAACGAGACACTTTTAATCTTGTGGAATCTTTGAAGGACCTCAAACTCGGAGACAAACAGATGATGTCATTTGACGTTACATCTTCATTCGCAAATGTGTCAATTAGTGGAACTATCAACCACATACGTGAAATCATTCAGGAGAACAAAATCGTTGTGGGAATTCCATTGGATGAGATAAAACAATTGTCATTCCTGTGTACGCATAACGTACAGTTTCAATTAAATGGTGAATTATATCACCAGAAGGATAGGGTTGCAATGGGATTACCTTTAGGACCACTATTCGCCGACACCTTTATGGCAAAACTTGCGAACGGCCCCCTGGAGCCTCATATCAGACAATGTAATCTGTACAGACGATACGCTGATGATATATTATGTATAACAGATTCAAATGCGGACACTGATCGGTTACTTGAAAAATCCAGTGATGCCCATCCGAACGTGAACTTCACTCTGAAAAAAAAGGAAAATAGTTTAGCGTTTCTAGACGTACTCATGAGACACCGCAGCGATAGCTCTATCTAGTTATCGGTGCATAGGGAAGCAACGTGGAGTGGACAATATATTCATTTCCATAGTTTTGTCCCTCTTCAGAGGAAGAGAAACATGATTCACTTATTGGTTCAGAGTGAAGAAGATATGCACGACGGACACCGTCGACAGTGAGCATCAGTTCTTATGTACTGTTTTTGTCCAGAATGGCTACCCCGAGCGATTCACGATAGGGCAATGTTAGAACACGAGGAACGGCCAGAGGAAATAGGAGTAGCGAAGACGTCTGTCTATGTGCATCTGCCGTTCAAGGGAGATACGGAAGCGGAACTCTTTCAAAGAAAGCTCACAAGTACAATGAGCAGAACATTTTGCGCTACACAATTAAAAACTGTGTTCACATCTAAATCGATTGTTTCCCGCTGAATGACAGAGTGCCAGATTCTGCAGCCTGCTTCTGTGTATACTCATTCACCTGTTCCTGTGGGACTGGGTACATTGGCCGCACTACCAAGTGCTTATCCGATCGCGTTCGGGAACACCAACCGGTTTGGCTGAGGATTGGAACAACTAAGACAATTACAAGCGCGGTGTGTTCGCATCTCATTGAGTCAAATCAGTCGGTGGATGTGGCAAGCGCGTTCCGACCGATTTACAAGATTCGATGTAGGCAATCAATAGCACTGAAGCATCGTATCTTAGCCACGGCTGAAGCCGTAAGTATTCGTATTAATAACCCCCCCCTTTGTGCGCCCAGAAGAAATTTGTGCAAGCACCTAATCTCCCCTGGCTCACTGCATCCACTCCAACACGCGTGCAATCACGTGAACTGTGACCAATTTCACACAAGCACATATGCACACATGATTGGAGCCGGAGCTAAACTATTAGGACTCGAATCTATCATCCCTCCTTCACTGTTCTTATTGTTAGTCATATTAACCGTTATGTAACGGCATGATTACGAATAACTGAAAACGGGCTTGTTCGCCACATTGTTATTCTCAATATCTCATTTTGAACATGTCATCATAACTCCCGGCAGCAAATTAGAATGAATGGAATAAATGAATGAATGGAACAGACCGTAGTTATCATTTCGAACACAGCAATTCGCTCTTAGAGGTCTTGTTCATTTGGGACAGTTGAAAGAAACCGTCTACCGCATATTTTGCGTACTACTTACAAATGTGAGTAGTACCCCAAAATGCGGGCAGCCCGCTTTGGAGTTATGATAACTGATACAACATAAATTCTGCGTAGGATTTCTCGAACATTTCAGATTCTCAACATATATTCTCTCGGTTATTAAATAAGACCGGTTATCACCAGAGAGACGATTACACTCACTGGATTTTAGTACCATTTTTCCACATAGAAAACCGCAGATCTCTGTTTGTCTCGTGCTTTCGATACACTTTCTGCAATCTTTCCGCCTTTTAACATAGCGATTGTCTGGCAAATAAATTGTTGCGTTTTTTAATCATCCCGAACCGAAATGACGAAAGTGAACGTGTGTTTTTATTCCGTAGATGCCTGGAGTTACCCACATTAATTGAAAACTCAGGTCAACCGAAAACCACTCACGGAAACCAGGTCATCTGTAGCCTCTTGTTTTACTTCGGGAATCATGAACACAGATTTGAGAGATGAGCTCGGTTTGAGCGTCACTTACCCCGGAGTTGTGGGGTTCTTATATTTTCGCAATACATATATGTGGATCGAGTATGATGCTCGCTTCCGAGTTGCAAACTTTGTTTGGACCGACTAAAAGTTTGCGATTCGCAGAAGTTATTGCTCTTGAAAGGGACGTTCAACTGCCTACATTCCTGATGATTTATAAGATATCGTTGGTGTCTATCGCTAATTAAATTGGAAATGAAGGAACTTACTTCTTCCCAAATTAACACATGAGTGTTGCTCTCCCGTTTCTTTCTGGTGAAAGTTCCCTGCACGATTCTGGTACACGCTTTTGCAGTAGGTGTGGGAATCTTGCTGTTTTCAGCCATCTCTTGTTGTTCGTCATCCTCTTCCAGATTCGACTTTCTACAGTCCTTACATAGTCGTTATTTTTGTCTTACAAAGAAACCTGTGGGTGGAGGGTAAATTCACCTACGCTTGACCGTCTAGGTTTCATCCATCGAAAAGCTAGATCATGAGCGTACCTCATTGATTGAACTGATTGGGTAACCTACGCTTATCAGACATGATGTTTGGTTTTCATAAATACCGCAGTTTTTAAAGAATATAGAAACAAGCTATTACTTTTTTGCGGAAAGTACATTCTTCCTACATCGAACGAGGATGCAACCGTTAGCACGGTAACTCCATTATTTTACAAACTAACAAGATTTATTTTATCGCCAAGGACCGCGAATGATATTTTCATCCACCCAAATTTTACGATTTACAGTTTATGGTTACGATTTATGGTTATTGCTATTTCAATGTGACAGAGATTATATTAAGTGGACCTAGCGGTCCTGTCAGTTACAAGGTTAAAGGGAAAGAAAAACATGTAATCGCAGATATCGGTAACTGTTGCAAACAACTGAAGTAAAATAAAAGCACGCAAGGGGAATGTTTTAGTATCTATTGACCGGTAAGCGATTTCACTGACCTTCCGAAAACATGCAGAACTGATAATGGCTATCCGTGCACAGTGAGCTGTCAAATCAGAAATCTCTACTGATCCCTGGTTTATGAGAAGCATTCAAAACGAGATTCAGTGGTGTTTCTTGTAGTCTTCTAGTCATGTGACCCGATAGCCAAACTCCCTCCGACATCATGCTTGTGCGTAATCCGACAAAAGAAATACATGTTTATGTAGGCCAACAAAGGGCTGTAAACAGCTGTGTTGTCGTTTCAAGGATGCGTCAGCAGTGTTTACAGTTTTTGTGTCCCCACTGGGACTTGAACCGCAAACCTTCGTATTGGTAACTGAAACCCTTGTTTGTTAGTTAAATGTTCGATGGCTAACATTTGCGCTCATAGTGATATGAACGTATGATGTTTTAGTTTTATCGTTAGGCGAATTCCCAAATACATGATCCGTCTTGTTCTGATGTGGGCCTTACTCCTTGAGAGTTCATTTAATTCCCACCTTTCAGAATAATTTTTCAAACTCAGTTTGAACATCGGAAAGTGAGATCTACAGCGGAACAACAGTAAAAAAGCCCTCTGTCTGTGAGTCCGAATAGAATGAAATCCAATTCGCCGTCAGGAGGTAAATGCTTTCGGGAGGATGCTCAAGAATAGGAACACGAATTCATGGCTCACCAAATGTATACTGCAGATCAGGCTAGTGATACTGTTATGCCCTTGGTCATTGAGTTCTGTGAACAGTTTGTTAGGTATCCGCCCTCAACTTTCATCAATCACACCTTGATTCGGATGGGTTTAAACTCTAATCCCCTTAAAAATTCTGGTATCTGGAGGCAGATAGCTTTTACATCGTCAGTTGGTGTAAAATCATGAGTTTTCTCTAACCACGCCGGTGTTTTTAACGTTCCTTTCTAAGGTCAAAAGTCACCGATTATTCACCACACCCAATACGTTCCGGCTACCGTATGGCTGATTTGTTTAACTTAACATCATGACATGGTGTGTAACACAAAGTATTACACTACAGGATAACTAAAAATTAACTGTCTTTCGTGAAACCCATGCATGAAGTGAAAATGATCCTGGAAACGTGTGAATATTATATGCCTGAAACTTTGCGCATTGGCCATGCTGACCTCTATTCATTGTTCCATCAGATCATTAAAATCAAGCTCAGTAGGTGAACACGATCCATCTTTACGGACTGCAGTACTTAAAGAGTGAGTTATATCCCATACAAACCGAAATTAAATGCAAAGAGGAAGGGTGGAAAGCATTGTACAACTGTTTCAACCCTGATTGATGTGGTTTCATCTACTCATCTGAGACGTTTGAACCTGAAACTTTACTGGTATAAAACATGCGTTCCACTCTGTTCACCACCAAACTACTGATTAGGTAGTCTCAAATCGTCCTTACATGAGAAAGAATGTTTGTAAGCTTATTGAAAACCATTGTTTCCATTTATCTTAGTAATGATAATCATTAATGGAATACGTTGCGAAAGTGACAAAATGCTAATTTCCAGGTCCCCTTTTTTGCTCCTTAAAAGACCAATCCCGTGCTTTAGTCGAGCTAGAGTCCTCATCACTCTGATCCACACAAAATAGAAACAAGTCAGCTACGAGTTGGGTTTGCACAGGTCCCTTAAACTATTTCTGATAATTTTTAAATAGTTAGTTATGCTTAAGTTGCAACTTGCCATTTAATTTGATTTACAGGAATAGAGTGAAACCATTTGAATTCGCAATGGATAGTGAAGTGAATACCACTTTAGCTGATTCAGGGTCGATTCGTGTACCCAAATGTACTCGTTGTCGTAACCACGGAGTTGTGTCCTCTCTCAAAGGGCACAAACGCAATTGCCGTTGGAAAAATTGTCGCTGCCCGGCTTGTTTATTGGTCGTTGAGCGCCAACGAGTAATGGCAGCTCAAGTCGCTCTAAGACGGTAAGTTCCTAACATGATATTCAGATCGTGTGGTGTGTACACTGGTCGTTCTACAACGCTGATCCTTTTTAGTATTACGAATGACGTGAATTACAGTAAAAGGGTAAATCCTCATAGTCAAAGAATATATTGAAAACGGGATATTACGGGAACATTCATCTAACGTATTGAATCATTTAAAGAGAGCGTTTAAAGAATGTGAGGTTGTAAGTTGGTCGAAAGACAAAGAAAACTTGACAGTTCGGCGGAAGAAAGAAGATTGGAATAGAGAAGTACGATATCTGGTGATCGAAATTTGATAAGGATAACTGGATATGTGTATACGGGATGGGTTGGCAAAAGTTACTGGAAAAGGCACTTCTGAGGCATACTCGGAAGAAGAAAAAATAAAGTAGTAACCGTAGAGAAGGGACAATGAAGCAACTGCCCGACGTTGGACTAGTGACTGCAGATTGTGTTAGAGAAGACTGATCGATCAACCGGATAGCGTTTCGTTGAACACGCTCAAGCACGGGAAAGATAAAGCAAAGCCCCACCCCACACATGATCAGGGAGGATTTGTGCTTCGTATAGAAAAATAAGATGAGCTGGGATGAAGAATCGTCGGATGCGGAATAAAAGCCCAGAACTAGCGCAGAACCAGAAGCTGACCAGCATCCAGAAGACATTATAAGTAATCCTAGAAGAGAAACAAAGGCTGGGAAACGCAGTTGGGAGGAATCAAAAATAATTGGAGGTGGGATGGGAGAATGAATAGTGTTTTAGAGAAATTGAAAGAAGGCAGGTTTTAGAAGCATTGAATAAAAAATGGTTGAAATAGCCCAGGACGAGAGCGTGCACACTTGGTCGGAGATGATGTTTTTCAATACTTTAGAACATAAGTGAGGGAAATCGATCGGCAATTGTTGGGGTTAGAAAGGTTATCGGGTCTGGGAATGGGAAATTCATAGCGTGTTTCCAAGGCGTCAGAAAAGTAGAAACACTCAAAAGGTGACGTAAAATAGAAGCCAGCTCGGGAGCACGGATTTGGAGGACGATGGGTGGAATACCATCCGGATCGGGTTGTTTGGTTGCTTTCAGAGAGGGCGATGTTTGACGGATTTTGCTAGTGCTAATATGAGCTAGAAAAGGGTTGCCAATGGAATAGGAAGAAGGTGGACTAGTAGGATGACTAGGTGAGGTGAAGTTGGTGACAAACTGGGCAGCTAAAACTTCAAATTTATCAGGTGGTTGACACACAAGATCACCAGAGGAATAACGTATAATAAGGAAGTTGGAACGGCAGAAACTACAGGGAATGACTTTGTCAATGCACTAATATGTTTGGCTGCCAGTAATGGATGAGACCAAGTTTTCGGCTTTACAGGAAACTAAACGTCCGTTGGTTCTCTGAATGGTTGTCGAACACCTGTTCCTAGAGAGGACGAAGTGTTGGAGGAATCAGAAGTGGGCGAGCTGTACAAGCGGCGGAAGGCTGAGCATTTTATGCGTACAACACGATCACAAGCGTCGTCAAACCACTCTGTGAAGATGGTAAGAAAATTGAAAACGTCTGAAGTGAAACAACAATCATTCCAAGGATAAAAAGCTAGAAAATCAGTCCCAGTTGACTGAGTTGTAGCACCAAACTGCATGCCTCAGAGTGGGTTCGCATCGAGGCTAGTAAACCTGGTGGAGCAGGAAACTATACAGCGATCCGATGACACAGTTGGAAGAAGATTACAGATATTGAGAGGAGAGAAAGCACAGAAATGAGAAATAGATCGAGGGTGTGGGCACGGTTGGCAGCTCGATCAGGGACGAATGTAGGCTCAGGTTGTTGATGAACGCGAAATGTGCGACCTCACGACCTAAAGAAGAAGTAACAGATGAATGTGTCAACCCCTCCTGACTATGAACGTTCAAATCTCTCAAGATGGTAACATGGTACTTGGGATCGGTAGCAAACGAGTGTTTAATATTCGAAGATAAAAAAACAAAGATGGAGGAGGCGCCACTATTGGGGGAACGATATAGAACACAAAAGAAATGAGTGAAAAAAGGACGTTGGAGCTTCAACCACATCAGCAGAAACTAGCGATTGGATAAGCTAGGATTTGGGATTCTGAAGGTGGGACTGATTGATGGATAAAGGCGCAGATACTATCTTTGGGTAGATAGGAGTGCGCGTTTCATTTCATGTTACATAAATTCTTTCTCTCTCTTTCATGAAAACGGGGCTTATTCTATGTGTTCCCCTTCTATAATCACCACACCTCGCACAACTACTTTTTCATTTATTATTACTCCTCCGATTGTAAAACGCATCACTGTTTTATGTTGCGGCGCATCCGTTGAAAATATTTGATGGTGGTAACTGTAGGTGAACGGACGGAATAATGTTACGGGCTAAAATTATTATCTGTTAGATATACTCATATAAACTCTCCCCACACACCTAATGCACATCAATGGCCAATAACTGAAGCAAGTTTAGGTTAATAAACTCTGAATTGCATAATTATTTCAACTAATCAGACAATAAATGAGGTTGGGCTGCATACAAGCAATGCTAGAAGAGCTTTATTTGCCATACACTCTGGGTTCACAACAAAGTTAGTATTCAGATTAAACTTAGTGCTTGCTGTTGTGTCCCATAGAAGTGAATGATTAGCTATGCATGGATGAGCAGTTCAGTGCATATACATGCAGCCGGTCTGCAGGCTGGTAAGCAAGCAGGGAGTCAACACGTAAGCAGATGGGCAGACCAACAACAGACAAAGGCGCTACATGAAATCGGATTGCGCCTAAGCAGCACAGGTAAGCCGTCAAAGAATCGATCAACGCGGACAGATCAACGCTGATATGTGATTCGCCGAGGAAAACGGAGCTTGTGCCTGGGCATGGTGCAAGCAACCTTAACGGTTCTCTGCCCTGTATATTAGTGCATGGTAAGAATCGTTGGATCGATAGGCCCAAATCCATTGTTTGCCTAGCCTCTGTATTCGTGGGGCTAAGAAGGCGGTGGTGGCCAAGTGGTTAAGTCACCAGCTTGTGACCTGGAAGTCCCGGGTTCGTACCGCTCCACCGCCGCCCGTCTTCCCAGGCAGACTTTGTATGGCCGCAGCCCCCCTTCCTGAATGTTGACTGTATATTTGTACATTCAATAAATAAAAAAGGAAGTAAAAAGACATTTATTTATTATTATTTATCTATCAATCCAGCTACAGGCAGGTACGATAAACACTCCGGTCAACTATAGGTCACAACCTTTACTAGGCAACGACTGGCTCAATAATGATATATTGTTAGGAAAATTAATCAATATGCATGGAAGCTGTCAAACAGGCAGAGATTTTCGATCACAAAGGCCCACGGAGGACCTATCAGGTCAATTAGTTTGACAAATGGGCCAGTAACTACTTGAGAAGACGCTAGTGTGACTTCGAGTGGTAGCTGTAACTTCGAAAACCAAGATGACTACGATGATTCAGCCTTGTTTCTTTAACAATTAAATCTTGAAGTAATGCGTTGTTCCATCACCAGGTCCAGACTGGCACTGCTGCTATGGTAGTTGACTGAAAACGTGGCTTAGCATCGGAAAATTAGGCGTGAAGTGTTGGGTTTCAAAATTGTCTACGGTCCCATACGCTAGAAGTAAGCACGGATCTAATTCCTCACCGTTCTGATCTCCAATAAGCTTCAACAGGCAATTGATATCCGCATATCCCGATCACTCTGTGTCGGTAGCTGACCGCACAACAATAAAGTACTGTACTCGATTCTGCTCATACAGTACAGAATATATCACCCGACGGTTAGTATCGTGTCCCACCCGTAGGTCTCCAAAATGTAAGGTAGTAGAAACAGGAATTGATAGGTGGCTCGGATATATGAAACGCAATGCCACGATACGACTGACTATCCTCCGATGTGAACATGTGCACCATATATTATATTACATTTCACAATTGTCTGAAGACAGACTGTGCCAAGAAAATCACGGTGCAATAATGTTCCATTATTGGCTCCATGCGCTGAGAAGTAAGATATCATCGGAATGATTAGATAAGTAAATAGTGGATATGTTTAACTACTTTGAATCAATAGCGATAAAGAAGAGTGATGTGTTGCAATAAAACGTCCTTGAATCTCAAACCTCGTTTTCTCTTTCCATTACTCCGCACAGTCAACAAACTGCACAGGCTGCTCGCGTTCGAGACGGCACACAATTTCCAACGAACGAATGGAATATTCGATGCATCAATTCCTTGGAAAAGCCCAGCGAACCCGGATCACAAAAACGTCATATGACTTCCTGGTCGGATACAACATTTGATCTCAAGCACACTAACCCAGTGATCGCGAACCATACAACACAAATGGGAGATGCGAGCAAAAAACAACTGAATCATGTCTCAGGTTTGTTATCCACTTTAGCAGTTCATTTCCTGTGTCTGCGCATTGAAGATACCTGATTTTCCATTTTATCTTATCTGAGACTGATCCGGTGTCAGCGCTTGATTCGGTTCAGATGAGCCTGAACATGTAACCATCTTCGTGATTGCCGTTTCCATTAGGGAAATTTGACTATGTCTGATTTATTTTTTGATGTATTTGAATCCCCTGGTATATACCGCCGTGATTGTTTATTTTTAACAGTTGAATGTGTATGTATATTTATATATACTGTATTCAATTGTCTGAGGTACCCTAGACATCACTATTCAGCTGATGTCCGATTTAGCCTAACTTTGCTTGGGTACAGCGAGAGAATTTCGTCCGGTGTTACACGTCCACCACAGTGATTTGGGGAGAAATTTCAATGGTTTCTTCGATCCGAATAGAGAAAAGTTCGCATACCGCGAACCAAGCTCGTGAGTTAAATAACACCATTTGACTTTCCTGCATTGGGCTGGCTCCTGAACAATCAGAACAGCGTGAATTAGCACCAACTGTTTCAGAATATATTTTTATATCCGTTGGGTACTTATAGAATAAGCACGCAATGTTCATCAACCTGTTTAATATGGAAACGGACCTCTCACTAACTCATATTACCAAGGCAATTTGAAACAGATTAAACAACAGTTTGGTCACCCTAACCGTAGAAGATATAAAAGACGTTGGTCATTTGTTCGTTCACTTCTTTTTATCGAACCTATGAAAGTTAAGACAATCTTCATGAATATGGAGTGGATAACCAAAGGGCTTTCATGGGGTATAACGATGCGCGGAATTTAAGTGGCGGTGATGTGATTCGACCTCTCGAATTCCGAGGCGATACGTCGTTGACCTTCACTGCTTGATCAATTCTATTCATGCATACTCCGTGTAGCAATTCAAAGAAACTAGCTGCTGAAAACCTTTGTTAATTAGGATTGACAGTGACACACGGTAGTTAACTTGAATTCTGGTTGACTGGAAGTTCTTTTCCCGTATAGTCAACCGCACATTACAGCTTTAAATTATAATTTTTGTAAGCTTCATTTCTGAGAGGCAAACAGTGCGTAAGCAATCGGTCACGGTATGTGAAAACCATCAGAATCTCTCGGTTACTCTCTAGAGGGACCTCCAACCACCATTTTGAAGAAGTAATCCT